CCAACTACCGTACTACTAATTAATTATGACCAACGAAGTATATATATATATATATATATATATATATATATGGCTAGAAAAATTTTACAAAGGCAAACCTGCTTGTCCTGACAGAAAGTACCGTCGTTTCATGCAAGTTGCTTGTCAATCGGTACTGCAATGGCTGAGATATTGGCATGACAGATGAATGGATTTTTGTCTTCGTATAGTAAATGTACTAACAAGTTCTAATACAAAATTTTTGAGACAGATGTGTTCAATATTAGAACATGGAATTATGTGTAAAACAATTATGATTGTAATAATAATTCATTTATTTCAAATAAATGGTCACTTACATAAGCTTTACAAACAAATCTTTTGATAGTGTAACATAGATAAATAAGTATATACATAAATATACACACACCTCCATTAGTTCCTCATGACTTTCCTGGGAACTGCTTACTAAGGCTAAACCTCTTTCCATAGTGTAGCCTTCAACTGTAAAGTTCTGGGAGCTGGATGTTGAAACAGACTGATGTGTGGGATACTTAGTAACTGCCTGGGAGTCGATCAGAACATTAATGCCAGAGGTCACTGCATAATGAGAGGAGGCTCTGTTATCTAAGTTTTCAACAATATACTGATTATGTTCTGGTAACTCTGAAGAAAAAGATGAAGATGATGATGCTGATTTTTCAAGTTTTGCGGCATACTTATGAGCAAGCACATGTTTATGACCGACTGGAAAAGCTGACACCATACTATGACTGGTTGATGGTAATGTGGTGGCCAATGGAATCATGCTTACCAACACATCCCTCTGACAAAGTACTGGTGACATAAGATTTGGTGAAAGACTGTTGGCTCCCTCAGATATAGCAAGTTGCTGTTGAGTATTATTTAACAAAGTACTCTGTTGAATCAGATGATTAGTTGAAAAACTCAGTCGTTGAAAGTTTGACACTTCCAGAGGAATTGAACCATCTGGTTGTGGTGTGGCCATAATTGCAGCTAGGTTTGTGCGATCTATAACCAACGGCAAGCTTAAGCTTGCTGCTGAATGGCCATCTGAATTCCCATGCTGCAGCACCAACTGTTCAACTGTGATAGGTACCCGATCAATTGAAGTTTCTGATGATGAATGATGTTGTGGCATGCCATTCTGAAAAGTCATGAGGTCATCAACTTCACAAGCAGCAGATAAAGTTGATGTTGATGCTTGACTAATAATGGGAGAGTGACTATGGGAACTGAAAGGCTAAATAAAATGCTTTGTAAATAATATTTATATGACAGAAGATTCTAAAAGATTCAAAACTTTTTTTTTCTGAAAATATTTACACTAAAATTTGAAGGCTTTTTGCTATATAGACAAAATAAACTTTCTTTTCTGCTCTTAAGATCTAGAACTAACAATAAAATTTTATAAAATGAACTAACTCCAATAATTTTTTTTTAATAACCAGTATTTCATTGAATTTGTAGGAAAATATTTTGTAGGGTAGTGTGTAAAGAAATGGTTTAGGTAAAACAAATTTTTCGTCATTAAAATGAAACATGCAGTGCAAGTAAATTTAGTGTCACCATTACTTAATTCTAAATAGTATATATGCATACCATATGCATTACAAAAAATAATTCAAGAAAAACTGGTTTGCCAAATTCTGTAGTTTAAATTCTGATAATATAAAAGTCTGAATTAAAAACAATTACTTGACCAAACAAAGTACAGATATGTTAATTTGATGATGGTTTTAGTGAGAATGGTTAAAGTAATTAGTTTGTCAAAGTTTTCAAACTATAATAAATAGTATGAGAGAGACCATGTCATGTTTGAACAACAATTTTGCCAGTTATATCATATTTTAAGTTAAATTGGCATTCCATGCACTGGAAAATGAAAGTCATATATGTATTGAAAAGTTAACATTTTCCTGAACTGAAAATGTATTTATGATAGATACTCACCTCTATACACAGAATAGCTATATTCCTGGCATATCTGCCTATGAAATTTGCATGCCACTAGCATTCAGCTAACTCCAACCTAAAACTCACATGTTTAACTTGAGATGCATTGAAGCATGATGATGTCTGCATATAACAAAAGCCCTTCACCAATAGGAGTGTAGTGTGAGTTGTTATTGGGATACCCTAGACACACATGCTGATTGGCTGCCTCAGATGATAGGGGCAAGGCTAGAAAATGATATCATATTCCCATGAAATGGCACCAGAAAGCATGTTACTGGGGATGCATTGCTAGGGTAAGTCACAAGCCACGTGACATCATAGTTTGAGTGTTACTCATCAGAGGATGTTCTGCTATAGGCAGATGCTGTCAGAAGGCGGACAACGATGTTTCTATAAGTGGTTGCTATTACCAAGGATTTATAGGCGGATGGTGTTACTAGGTGGATTGTGTTACAAATGTTTGTGTTGCTAGGGCAAATAGTGTTACTATAGGCAGATAGTTCAATAGAATGATAAGTTCAATGTAGGGTGTCTCAACATGTAATTATGTCATCAACACTGTAATCTAAATTTAATTATATATGTCCTAAAAAGTTCCAAGTAAAACTATTATTTGAATTAAACAGTTAGTATAGCTAATTGTCCTTTTGAACTAATAATTAATTTGCATGTGCCCTAAAAGTTTTGAATATCTTGCAAGTAAAACCATTATTTATAGACAACTATTGTAACATATTGTAGTACATTATCAGTTTTATCCTACATAATAACTTATTTTATCCATTATTTGAACAAGGCAATATTATAGCATACCCCTTTTACAATTATCCCTTGCTTTATGTATAAAAAACACTTCACTGATATATTAGTTCTATAGTTTTCACTTCTCTACCTAATATGTATCCTGTTAAGTATTAATCACACCTGATGTTTTAATTTTGATAAATACTGAACTAGATGGTTACATTATTATTCAATAGCTGACTGTGTTTTTAAGTATCAATTTAGTACACATTTTGGCCCGGCATGGCCAGGTGGTTAGGACGCTCG